CGCCACCCCATCCAGCCACCGGGCGCTCGGGTAGGGGATCCCCCCCAGCCCGGCACACGTGCAAGCACCGGGAGGAAAATACCCAGCAGGTGAGGATTGCCAAGCCGGGGCTGGGGCGCGCAAACACTTCCAAAAACATTCGTTCTGGCTGAATTTCCTAGTGGTCTACGAGATACGTATTTTTACCGTTTCTTTCCTAGCTATAACAACGACTCGTCGCGTAATATCTGCTTGCGCCTCTTCCAGCTTCTCCGCTGCCTCCCTTACGTGCAGGTGCATTGCCCGAAAGACTGAGTTTGGGAAGGGAGAGGGGGGAGAAGAAACACGAGGTTATACAAAAGCCAGGTTGGCCAATGCAAAAAAAAAAAAAAAAAAAAAAAATCCCCCCCCCAACAAACGTTCCCTTCACTGGGGAATGGAAACAAAATTAATACGAATAGGAATAATTTATACGAATAATTGATCCTACAAAGCGGCTCCCCGCACCCCACCTTCCTTGGGATCCGGTGGAAGAAGCGAGCGGCTGGGGAGAGGCTGGGGCTGCGGCGCCCAGCGCGCCGGAGCCCGGTTTCCCAGCGCCTGGGATGCGAGTGTGTGTTGTTGGTATAATATCAATTCATTTAAAATATGAAAGTCAAGTCGCGTAGACTGTGACAGCAACCGTAACAAAAGGTGCAAGCAACAGACAATGTGATGTGCTTGTACAGATATTGTAATGATGCAAATGAAGTGGAGGGGACGAGCTGCCTTATTATGTACATAAATACACAGTGGCTCGCTGTGCCATCCTTGAATGCAGGAGAGTGAGAGAGAGAAGGGGAGGGAAAGAAGGGAGAGAGGAAAAGAGAGCGAGAGAGGGAGGGAGGGAGGGAGGAAGGGAAGGGGGGAAGGAGGGAAGGGAGAGGGGGGGGGAAAAAAAAGGGCTCAGCTTGAAATCCGCTGCCAGTTTTAAGCAGCGCGCACCTCGGGCAGCCCCTCCGCCGGGCTGCGCGCACCCACCGCCCGCGGCAGAGCCGCCGCTCCCGGCGCGGCCAGGCGGGGGAGGCTCCCTGCGGCCGGCGCCCCCTCCCCAGCCCGCGGAGCGGCCCCGCGGAGGAGGAGAGCCGGCGCTTTCCAGGCACCGGGCGGAAAAACTGAAAGAAAAACGAGGACGGGCGAAAGGCAAGGTAAGGGGACGCGGCTGCGCGGCTCTGCGCGGCCCCGGGGCTGCCGTACCGGCACGGCGGCTCCGCCGCCGCGGCGCACCGGGATGCGGGTCCCGCTGCTGGAGCGCATCGCTCGAGGCGGTTTCCCCCGGGGACAAACCTGGCAGGGTTTTGCAAAGAACGAAAAAATGCCCCCAGCGCGCCCGGACACCCCCCTCCCGCCTCGGGCCGCCTCCTCCCGCCCGACCAGGACCCGGGCTGCCGGGCCGGGCTGAGCCCGGTGCAGCGCCCGCCGGCTCGGAGGCACGGCGGGGGCTCTGCCCGGCGGCGGGGGCGCACCCGGTGCTCTCCCCGCACTGGCACCCTGCGGGGAGCGGGACCACCGGGCCGTGTTTCAGTTTCAGTTGGTTTGTTGGGTTTGGGGGGTTGGTTGGTTTTTTTGTTGGTTCCCCCCCCCCGCCTTGTCACCAGGGTAATTATTTAAATCTCCATCTTGGAAAGTTGCATTTCACCCAGGGCGGCCAGGCAGACACTTCCCGGAGACAGGGTGTGCAGAGCCCCGCGCCCCCTCCCCGCAGCCACATCCTATCTCCTCGCTCCTATTGTTGGCAGATTTGGGCATTAAAAAAAAAAAAAAAAAAAAAAAAAAAAAAGGGAGGGTTTGTTCTGCCCTGGAAAGCCGGCAGGGCCCGGCCCCGCTCCCCCTGCACCTGCCTGCCGGGGAGTCCTCCCCGTCCCAGTCCCGTGCGGCAGCTTTACGGGGCTTTGCATGATTTAAAATTACCCAGCCACATCGGGGACCGGGCCGCTCCTCTCCGCCGGCTCTTTCACCCCCCTCTCTCTTTTCTTTTTTTTTTTTTGTTGTTGTTGTATGTGCAAAGTTCCCCTCTTTATCCTCCTTTTGCTTTGGGGTGCTGAGGCTGGAAGGCAAGGCAAAAAAAAAAAAATTAAAAAATAGAAGAAACCAGGAGCGGAGCCTGCCTGGATTTGAGGCGATTTCAATAAGAAAAGCGATTTCACTAAGGGGGGTGCGGATTTCAGTCGCGGGGATTGTTCTCCCCCAGAGCACGGAGCATCTTTATTAAACGCAATTTTTTTTTTTTTTTCTCGGAAGTCTAAACCCCGGCCTGGCCCAAGCCCCGCGGCTGGCAGGGGAGAGACAGCCGCGGGCGGGGCCGGTGCCGGTGCCCGGCGAGAGACGAGCCCCGCTCCCCGTTCCGGGCTCGGTCCCTCCCCAGCGAAGTTTTGCCTGCGGAGAAGCAAATCGAACCTGCGAGATCGGCCTCTTTCCTCCCTCCTGCAACAGCTGCGCCCGAAATAACCTTGCAAGAAAAAAATATATATACATATACAATTAAAGCGACCTCCTGCGAACGAAATCTTTCCTGGCAGGGGCTGAAAAAATATGTTTATACCTTTTTTCTGGACAAAGCCGTGCGTGTGCACCCCCCACCCCCCCGCCGCATGCGTTTTTCTTCGGGAACTTGCACAAAAGGCGTTTTTGTGGGCAGTTTGGGGTCGACTCGAGGCTTTTCCTCCCCTTTATTTGCAGCCGAGCGAGCCGTGGGGCTGCGGGGGTGTGCGGGGGGCGGCAGGCACCGGGGAAATTGCGGACAAAGTGCAGGTGAAGGAGTGTGCGGGAGCGGGCCGGGAGGAAGGCTGGGACCGAGGGTTCCCACGGTGGGGGACATAACATACCCCGCGGAAATCGTCTGCGGGATGGGGGGATAGCGAGGAGGCTCCTCCAGTACTTACAAAAAAAAAAAAAAAAAAGAAAAAAGATTAAGTATTCCGTGATTTATTCCCCGAGCCGTCTCTTCGTTGTTTGTTTTTTTTTTTTTAATGCAGCTTAAATAGGGTCTTGTGGTTAAGAGGTAACTGTGTCATTTTATAACCCTATTAGCAGCCATTAATGCGTGCCAGTAACGCAGGACGGGGGGGCCGGGGGAGAAGAAAAGCAAAGCGGAGACAAGACCAGAGGGAGGAAAACACCGACAAAAAAAAGGCAGAAAGCAAGAACTTCCCCTCCCCCAAAAAATCACACCCAAGGAAATAAACCCGAGGCGGGGAGGGGGGGGCTGCTCGCCGCGGCCGGTGCTGGCCGCCCCGGGGGGGGGACGAAGGACGGACAGACGGACGCGGGGCTCCTACCTGCGGGCGGGCGGCAGCCGCTCGCACCGGCCGGCTGGTCCTCTACCTGCCGCGGCCCCCGGCGGGGCGGGAGGGGGGGGTCGGGGCGGTACGCCCACAGCCCACCGCCGGGCCTCCCAGCCCCCTCCCCGCCGGAGGGCAGCCGCCTTCCCCGGTCCACCCCGGGGCTCGCACATCGCCCGGCGGTCGGGAGTACCGCAGCCCGGCGCGGGGCTGAGCGCTCCTCTCCCTCTTTTTCTTCCTTTTCGAGGAGTTTTTCCTGCCCTCCCTGCTTGCGGCCGCCGCCGGTTGCACTTCGGGGCGGAGCGCGGAGAGGCGGGGGGGGGAAGGATGCTGCACGGCCGCCCCGGGAGGTCTTGACCCCCCGGTCTCCGTTCACCGGGAGGGAGCGTGGGCCCTGGACGGGGCGGGGGGGGCGCGCCGGGGGCATCCCGGGAAGGGGGGTGTCGGGAGGAAAGTGCCCCGGGGGCTGCGGGTCCCACCCAGCCCAGCCCCGTTTGCTCAGGTCCACTTTTTCTCAGGTCCAAGCACCCAGGATCGGGGAGGGGGGGTGAGGAAGAAACGCCAGTCCGGGCGTGTAAATAAATAGTCTGCGTGCACGGCCGGGGGTATTTGTTTTCTGCCTTCGCCTCTGCCCGGGCATAGGTGTCAACTCCATCACATGGCGCTGCTAACTGTTGCTAAAACATGTTGTCGTCTCCCCCCTCCCTTAACGATATGACATCACTTGTCAATCAAATCAAAATAACCAGTTGTGCTTCCAGATCTGGGAAAGCTCCCTTATTGAAAAAGAAAAAAAAAATTGCAACGGCAATAACAAAATAAAGTTAATAAAGCGGAGCCCGTTGTGTCGGGGAAAAAAAAAAAAAAGGAAAAAAAAAAGGGAGAAAAGGTGGCAAATGGGGGTTTGCAAGGAGCGGGGTGAAGGAGCAGGGCGCGTCCCGGGCCCGGCAGGACCCTCTCCCCGGAGGCTTGGCAGAAAATTGAGGGGAGAGCTGCTTAACCAGCCGTGTGAAGCGGGCTGCGGAGCGGAGCTAAGCTGCTCGCCTCCAGCAGCCAGCGCGGGTTGCCGATGTTCCCGATGGGTGAATTAATTCAATTAAAACCCCAGCCGTGCCGCCGTGGCATTTAGCGGCCGAGAGCAGAGCCGGCAACCGGTTCGCCAAACGCAGGCAGCGGGACCGGGACGCGGCGGGGAAAGAAATAAAATAAAATAAAGTAAAATCCTGAGAGCCGGCTGACTAGGAAATCTCCCGGCTCAGGCACGGGAATTAAACCGCTCCCTCAGCAGAAATCGTTCATCCCTGCTGGAGGGGGTCATTTTATTTTACAAAGGGTTTTAATG